GGCCAGCAGCGAGCCCATCGCACCGGCGCCGAGAACCGCCACCCGCAGCGTCGACGCTGCCGGCGGCGGCCGCTCGTCGCGCACAGCCATGTCGTCGCCGACCAGTGCACGGAGCTCCGCCGTCTGCACCTTGTAGCAGTGCTCGGGCCCCGGATACGCTCTCGCCGCCACTTCGTTCTTAAACTGGCGCACAGCTGCCACTGCATCGTGCCGCAGCTGGGCGTACTGCTTGCAGAACTTGGGGACAGGCGCGTCAAACAGGCCAAGCATGTCGTGGTAGACAAGAACTTGCCCGGCGGTGTGCGGACCGGCGCCGATGCCGATGGTCGGCACAGAGAGCTTGCTCACAATGTACGACGCCACCCGCTGCGGCAGAGCCTCGAGCACAATGGCAAAGCACCCGGCGTCCTGCATCGCCAGCGCGTCGGCAAGCAGCGCCTTGGCCGACTCGGCCGTCCGCCCCTGTACCCGGTATCCGCCGAGCGATGACGAGGTCTGCGGCGTGAGCCCAATATGGCCGACCACAGGTACGCCGGCGTCCACAATCGCCTTGGCCGTCGCCGCCATCTTGACCCCGCCCTCCATCTTGACCCCGTCCATCCCGCCCTCGGCCAGGTACCGGATAGCGTTGGCGATGGCCTCCTGCGGCGCCACCTCGTACGAGCCGAAAGGCATGTCACCGACCAGAAACGGCGACTTGGCTCCGGCGGCCACGGCCTTGGCGTGGTGCACCATCATGTCCATCGTCACCCCGTTGGTCGATCCGTGGCCAAGCATGGTCTGCGCCAGCGAGTCGCCCACAAGGATCATGTCCACCCCGGCGTCTTCGCACACCTTGGCCGACGAGTAGTCGTATGCTGTGAGCATGGTAAACGGCTCGCCTGCTTCAAATCGGGCCCGGACGTCCAAAATCGTAAACTTTGCCCGGCTTTTCTCTCCGCGCCCGCCACTGCCCGCACCGGCCATTTGCGAACTGAAGCGAACACTGGCTCCACGCCAGGCAGCGACCGCCACTCCCGCCACACCTGCACCGCCAGCCTGGGCCATACACTTTCCACATCCACGGGCAAAGCTCAGCATCGAAACTGGGTAGTATCAAGTAGTCCCGCTACAAAAGTCGAGTCTGTCGCCAATCGCTACCCCTCTCCCGAGCCTCGCCTCCATCCCTGCCTGTACCGCTGGTGCTGCTGCGGTCGACGTGTCGACGTGTCGCACTCTCGCACTCAGCCCGAGTCGCACTCTCCCGCCTGTCGCGACAGCCACAATCGGCTGGCAAGTCGAGGCGATGGTTGACGAAAGTCGGTCTTTGTTGGATCGGGGAAACCGTGGAGAGGCAGTGGTGATTATGGCCTCGCCTGCTCACGCAAGCAGGAGCATGGGCGGCGGGCGCACACGGCCGACGGCGGAGAGGGCCATGCGGCCGGCGCGAGGCCAGTGCGCCGGTCAAGGCGCAGCGCGTAGCGTGGCAGAGTGACGATCTACTGGCTGCCGTCAACCTTGGCAGCAACGCGGGCGGCGGGAACATACTCGAGCATGTCACTCTTGAGGTGCGCGACCGACGCACTGACAGCGGCAACCTCCGCGGCGACGCTCTCCGAGGTATCGGCCACAGCGGCCTTGACAGCGGCAATGTCGCTGTCCTGCAGAGCCACCTTGGTAGCCAGCGAGTTGACTTCGGCCTTGAGCTTCTCCATCGTCGCCAGGTGCTTGTTCATCACCGCCACAGACTGCGACAGGTTGCCCAGCGCAGCTTCGAGCTGCTCCGCCGCCACATCCGACGCGTTCTTGAATTTGTATGCCTACGCCCCTCACCACCGTCCATAGTAGTAGCAGTAGGTCGCAAACAGGAGGCGGTCATGCGTTGAGGCGTCGAGATGTCGACAAAGAGTGATCCGACGAGCAGCGACGCGGAAGCATCCGAGCCACCCATCCATCCAGCCAGTCCATCCAGCCAGTCCACCCAGCCAGAGAAGACGAGAGCGAGTCAGTCAACCCAGTCAACCCAGTCCAAGCCGATGAGAGCGAGCCAGTCGGAGGAAGTCGGAGGCAGTATGAGGGCAGTCGGAGGCAGCCAGAGGCAGTCAGAGGCAGTATGTCGGAGGCAGCCAGAGGCAGCCAGAGGCAGCCAGAGGCAAGGCCACAAGCAAGTTCCCCAGACACAGTTCACCCCGCCCAGTGCACGCCATAACCCACACAAGCCACCATCCGACATGTGCATACACATGCGTACGTATGTGTGTTGTGTGTGTGTGTGTGGGGTGGGGGGGGGTGGTTGAGGAGGAGGGGATGATAGCATAGGTGAGTATAGTCGTACAAGACGGGAAAGGGGGGATACGTGTGGATATATACATGTATCTCTATATATATCTCTATATGTGTGTATGTGCTTGTGGTATTGTGTGTTGTGTGCAGTGTGCGTAGGGTGACGGAGGAGGTAGGAGGGGAGGGGCAGCACGACCTCTTCCCCCCTCCCCCTCCCTTGTGTACTATGGCACACGTACAACATAGGCACCGGAGATGCTAATGCCAGTGCAGAAGGCAAGGACGTTGGTTCGGATGAACGACATGCTCGGTGGTGACAGCTCGAGTGAGGTGAGGCGAGGTGAGGTGAGGTGAGGTGAGGGAGGGGGGGGGGGAATGGGGCGGCTTGAGGACGGGTCGGTCAGCTCTCCCCCCCCTCCCAGGCCAGCGCAAGGCACCCGGCTCACATCGCTATCACCCCGACTTGGCTTTGCGCGCGATCTCTCTCTCTCAAGACGTTATGTTTGATGTTTGTTTTCGGATTTTAAAGCGGCCCGGGCCACATACAGTTGTGGCCGCCGCAAAGGCGCGCGGGGGAGGGGGGCAGACGGGGCCATGGCCGACAATGCCACGACTCAATAGTCATATTGCCCCCCCCCTTCTGCTGGGCAATCGAAACGCTCATGCCGCGGTATGATCGGCGTATGTTCGGAGCACCAACACAGTCTGCATCTTATGCAGCCTCGGCGAGATCGCGGATGTAAAGGATGTTGTTGCATCTGCACGAGCATATTGTGGTGAGTACATGGCCACCCGCCTACACCGCTCGCTCACTCTTATCACTACCTACGCGCCATGGGAGCGAGGAGAACAGCCTCAGGTCCTTTTGTAACCAATTAATTCTCAGTCATAAGATTATCTCAGAACCACAGCCAAAGGTGGTAACTTCATCACTGGTTGTTCTCCTCCTCCCTCCCTCCCTCTCTCACTCTGTGATCATCACTTACCGGAAGACCACCTCACCGAGCAGAGTCTCCTCGCCCGATGCAGGATCGACCTCACACGCGTTGTCCAGCTGGATGTTCATGTGCGAGTCGGACGAGAGCAGAAGCCCTGTGTACGCCGGGCCCCACTTGAGCTTGAGCAGGACCTTCTTGCCCACGAGTCCCACAAGAAACTGTTCCGGGTTGACTGCCTCCAAAGCCTACATTCCATCCCCACTGCATCGGTAAGTTTCACGCCCCCTCCCTCTTCCTCAAGACCACACCCATGACCATCGTCCGTGGCCACCACCATCAATAATGGTCTGCGCCCTCGGTCGCCACCTGCTGCCGGCTCTGCTCTGCCCAAAAATAATTGACGAATACAAACAATCGCCAGAAATCCCTGCCCCCCCCCGCCCGCCCCTCCCCCTGCTATGCTGGGACAGGGCTGGCCAAGGCGCACATGCTGACAGAGCAGCATACGAGAGAGAGACAAATATAAGGGAGATGCTTGTGCGTACCATGGTGGGTGTAAATGTGTGTGGGGTGGTGGTGGGCGGTGGGGCGGAGGTGGGTGGTGGTGGTGGTGGTTGGAGTTGGGTGGTGTCGCGCTAGCCAGTTTCGCTTCAGTCACCGCTTCGCGACGGTTCCACTCGGCGCAAAGTCGACCCGACTTGTGGCACCGATCGCTCGTTTTCGCTGCTAATCGTCTTTATGGTTGGGCGCCACCGGCGGAAGGAGGGCTGGGCTGGCGGGCGATATACCGGCGGCGAGGTCAAGGTCGTGATCATGAGCGTGCGAGGCGTCTTGCGGCATTTGGTCCTCGAGCGGGACGCCAGCGAGAGGAATGCAGCGGACAAGGATCGACGACGGTCGCGGGTAGTCGACAAACTCCCACTCTTGGCCGAGGTAGCAGAGCCGGAGGTTCTCCTCGTCGAAAAACCTGACCACCCAAGCCTGGAACCACAGGATCGAGAACACCCGATGGATGATACCGACGCCGACAAAGGCGGCGCCGAGGCCGACCTTCCATCCGATTGTCCCATCGAGGTACCACCACACCAGCCAGATCATATACAGCAGTGCAGAAATGAGAGTGTACAGCTCCGAGTCGCGCCGCTTGTTGTTGAGCTGCTTGATGATAAACTGGTAGTGCACCGAGTCCAATTTGCCAACGAGCGCTGGTGGCACCACGCTGCGAAAGTAGTTGGTCTTGGTGTCGGCCTCGATGAGCACGTCCTCATTGATGACTCCGTACGTCACCGACGGATCCGGTACGTACCGCATTCGCTTGGAGATGATCGTGAGGAACAGGTTGTTGATCCGCAGCACAGCAAAGACGTAGCCAGAGAGTCGAGCCACACCCTTCATCATCGGCACCCATTCGGGAAAATCGCGCCCGAGCGTCCACACCCCAGCGAGCATGGCGAGGCCAATGACCACAGAGAGCATCGCCAACTGGCGGATCCACGGCCGCTTACTCCAGATGTGGACCGACGGTTGCCACTGCACACCCTTGAACAACTCAATCACACGACCGGACTCGTCCACAAGCTGCACCCACTCCGGCGTGCCATGCCCGTGATCGCCGCCACCATGCCCATGATCGCCGCCACCATGCCCGTGATCGCAAGCGTGTCCGTCATTATCACTATCCGCACTCTCCTCGCATCTGACACTACCTGCCTCTTCATCGCCGTACCCGAGCCGCCCGCGATTGCCCTGACTGGGAGCCCTGCCGGGTGCCGGACCCACGCCACTCCATCGCGTCGACGGGCCCTTGCCAGACTCGCCCATGGTCGACTCGCCCAAGCCAGAGCTCCGCACCAGGCCGGCATCAACCTCTCCACCAAGCCCATGCATGCTTCTGTCTTCCATCACCTGCTGTCCATCACGATGGCCTTGACCATTGTTCGCACCACCATCAGTCTTGCCTCCTCCGCCACCTGCCGCCACCCGCCCAGGTCCACTATGCCCGTGCCCATGCCCATGCCCATGCCCATGGCCTTGCCCATGCCCTCCACTTCCCATGGCGCGGAGGTCATCCCACGAAGGCCCTCCCTTGCCACGCCGCTTGCGCCGGGAACTGTACATGCCCTCCCTCGTTCGACGAGTGTGAGGTCCTGTCCGTCTCCCCGCGTTCCCTCGCACAAGTCACTTGTTGTCCGCTCTCACTGCTCATCGCTCACTGCTCATACCCCCGACAGCGGCTGCTTCTATGTGCATTCATTCGTTGATGGTCGCTTCCAAGGCACGACAGACATCGATGACGGCATTGATGGTGGAGACATCGCTCTTGTCGTTGCCATCAAGCTTTTCGGTGGCATACGAGATGATGTGTGAGGCGTCATGGTGAACGGTGACGACCCGTGCGGCCTTGTACAGCCGCCGCGCGTGCGAGGTGAGGAGCTCGCATGCTGTCCGCACCTCGCTGGATGCATCGGCATTGTCGGCCGCCTGGGAAAAACCCTTGGTCGCCACCACAAGCGATGCCGCGGCGTCGGCCACGCCGTCTGAGAGGTTGGAGACCGAGCCGAGCGTGGCCTCGGGGACGTCGTCGGCTGCGTAAGCGATGAGCGAGTCGAGGAACTGCTTGAATCGCCGGACTGCCATTAGCGCCTGCCGCACACCGGCCACAGTGGCCTCAACGCTCGGCAGCGCCTCGCGGACCACGTCCAGCGCCCCGGCCAGCGGCTCGTACAGCTTGCACGCCGTCGCTGTCGCCAGGCTCTGCTCGTGCATCTCCACTGCGGCCTCAAAGTCGATAAAGAGACCAAGGATGTGGACCAGCGGCGGAAAGACTTCGCGCAAATACTCGGGCCCCCATCCCGGGCCCTTGCACGAGTTGGTCGCCTGCAGCGCCACGACCGCCGCGTCGAGCATCCCGGCCTCGGCTGTGTGCATAAACCGCGGCCGCGCAGCCTCCAGCGCAGTGTGGAGCGCTGCCACCGCGTTCGCCACCTCCGTTGGGATAGCGCTGCCGCTACCAGCCGCACGCTCCCGGTTGGCGCCGTCAGCAGCGTCGGAACCGCTCGGCCCGGCCGCCTCCATCGCCACCACCTGCGTGTCCTCAAATCCAGAGTCCGAGTCGGACGACGACGACTGCATGAGGTACGCCGCAGGATCGACGCCGGCATCCGAGATTGTCGACTCGGGCTCGCCCCCGTGCGCGTCGTCAGCATCGTCAGCGCCGCCCTCGCTGCTCGCCTCCCCATCGCTGCTTTGTTCGCTGACGGCATCCGCGCTTGCTTCCACAATCTCGGTTACGTCACTCGCCTTGCCCGAGTCGATGGCAGCGAGGAGAGCCTCGACCTTGCCGTCGTCGACGGTGGCGGCTCCGGGCGAAGCTACCGCCGCGGCGGCGGCGGCGGCCAACGTCGACGACGCCGGCGTCGCATTGCGGCTCGACGAGCTGCCAACCGTCGGCCGCCGCGTCACCTTGAATTGCGGCGAGCGGACCCGGTCGCGGAGCGCATTGGAGATGGCGTCAAGCTCCAGCAAATTGACCGCCAGGTTTGGCTTGATCTCAAAGATCGACATTATGCCATCGGCGCCGCGGACACCCGTCGAGACGTAGAGCGACGAGCCAAACGAAAGGAGCGAGATCGGCTCTGACAGGGTGAGTCGCTGAATCAGCGTCCCATTGAGTGTTGTCCGCACCTCGACGTACTTGGACGTCACCGCAAGTACATACGGGTCGAGGTAGGCAAAGGCCGACGGTGCTGCCGTCCACCGCAGGTCAAATGCCCGGGAGAGCTCGCCAAACCGATTGACCACCACGCCCTTGTTGTCGTAGCAGAGCAGGAGCTCCTGGAGCGGCGAGACCATGTCACCTTGCTTAAAGCCGAGAAAGAGGACGTCGAGCGGATCGACAGACCGGTCCGGCACAAACAGCTCGCGCACCTCGGACGTTTCCAGCTCGAGCTCGTCGAACTCTTGATGAAAGGCAATGATGAGCGATGTTCCGAGGAACCGCATGACTTTGACCCGCGCTGGGAGCGCATACGTGTGCTGGTGCTCAAAGACTCGCCCGGCCCACTTGTAGAGCAGAATTGACTTGCCCTTGCCCACCGCAAGGTACGTCGACGACATCGGCCGCGCAACCTCCCACGCATGCAGGCCCTTGGTGTTCGCCACCTTGTTCTCTACCACCGTCTTTGGATCATAGTTTTCCAGCTGCGCCAGGAGCCAGAACCGGAGCTTGCCCTTTTTGCACGGCTCGCCAATCAGAATGCCAATGTCCTCGCGGAGAACAAGCTTCGAGAGCCCGGTCTTGCACACCAGCCGTGGGTTGGCAAGTCCCTTGCCAGCCTCGCACACAAAGAGCCCGTCCACAGTTGCATACACAAACGACTCGCGCCACACAACCAGTGAGAGAATCTCAATCTTGAGCGCGGCGGCGAGCTCGGTGCAGACAAAGATCGAGTCCGAGGTCTCAAGCTGCGGCACACCGGCGCGCGGACCCGTATCGACCGCCAGTGCTGTCGACGACGACGTCGGCACCAGTTTTCCGTCAGCCAGCGGCGCGAGCGAGTCGGGCGACTTGTCGTTCTTGAGGCCCTCGTACAGCGTGTTGAGCGTCGTCCGCACCGTCCGCTGGTAGGTGTGCACAAAGATCGGCGCAGACTTGAGACACGCCCGCTCGCCGTTGATGAGCTTGGTGAGGAGAAAGTCGACAAACGCGGCGTTGGCCGTGAACCGTGGCGAGGTGAGGAGCGGACCAAACGGCCGCACGCTGTCTTGCCGACAGTATGAGAGCTCGTACATTCCGGGCTTACCCGCCAGCGGCCGGACAACGGCGTAGACATGTAGAAACTGCGAGTCGATCGAAGCCGGATTAAACTCGGCGCCCTCATCGCAAAACACAATCGCTGTCACGTCATTGCCAATCTGCCGCTTCCGCTGGACCTCCTGCCCGGTAGTGTCGTGCGGGAGCATTGTGCAGACATGGAACATGACGTCGCACCCGCGGAGCGAGGTGAACACGGACGTCTCGCCCGTTCCCCCTTCCTCCACATCCAACCCAGCACGGTATCCGTTCCACCCCTGCAGCGCGATGCGGGTGCCGATGAGCGAGAGAAACTCGTCAAACGCAGTGTCCACCTCGGGCTCGCAGTCGTTGGCAAAGAACTCCTCCTCGCGGCTCTGGCCCGCACGGACATACAGGACGCCAATCTTGTACGCTGTTGGCGTCTGAAACTCCTCAAGCTTGATCAGCTCTGACCGCATTGTCGGCGAGTTTGCCACCACCATCTTCTTCACGCCCTTGGCCAGCTCGTGTGCACCCGCAGCCTTGAGCACCTCCACCAACGACTTTTTCCAGTCCCTGTGCTTCTTGACCTCAAACAAGACATGCTGCTTTCTCTGAACCGTCCACACGATGCCTCTCACTCTCGGAACAAAGTTCTCCATCTCCCTCACCACAGACACACAGAACGGTCCTCCCTTGTCGCCTTCAGCCTTGCCCACAAAGTTGCAGTGTTCCGCGCACACAAAGTACCTCGCGTACCACCTCAAGTCATCGGCCGGGTCTTCCAGCACAGGCTTGTAATACGCTCCTCCAAGCTCTATTCCCACCCCGAGCCCCCACCCGACCAACGCCCCCC